CACGAAAAAAATAAGTAAAATCAGTCCTTCTGCAGCGGAATGAAACTGTCTGACAAAATTGAAAGACGTTTAATGCCCAACGAGGCTTTTTTGCTTCTTACGCGACCACCAAAAAAGCGTATAAATACATGTAATACATATTAGGTCCCATTTTTGAGTAAACGGTCAATTGATTAAGCTTTACAGCAATCAAACATTCCATTCTTCAGCTGTCAGAATCAATTGTTAAGTTACGATGAGAAAAATTAACTAAGCAACAATTAAATCGACTTACTAGGATTAACAATTACAAGCGAAAAGGCAAAGAAAACGAAACAAAACACATTTCTGATAAAAAAAATACACCTCACTTAAAGAGTTAAAACAACCTAAAAAACTTCAAAATTTTTTTTTAGCTTTTCTCTACAATAATTTGCAGGACCAGTTAGAGGAATCTGTAATGATTAAGTGAGTGAGACCATATTAAAGAAAAATTTCTGACAAACATGTAAAAGACTTTCAGAATCTGAACTGAACAGAACTTTAAGTGGCAACTGCTTAAATAAGCCTGGATAGGCCTTTCTAGTCCATTTTACTGAAGTTTTATATTTCAACTGGTTTTCAGTGTTATCGCTATACTTTGAATATATTTTCAAAAGAATTATATTTAAACTGCATGCTACTCTAAATTTAGGAAACATAAATTTTTTTAGTCTAAAATTTGCTTATTTACTGCAGAGGTCAGAGTGACATTACTTGGGAGAAGCCGTGTTTGAACAAGACGTATAACACTTCTGAACCTTGACTAGGTACGATTTGGTAAGAAACTGACAGTTCCACATACTCCAATGACAGTTAGTTGACTTCCCAGGAATAGTTCATCAATTTATGTGTGAGAATGATGAGCCTCTTTGGTAAGCCATCCTTCTAAGCAGTTTTTTTGTTTTTACAGACGAAATGCCAACCCAGAAGCTCTCTTCAGTTATTCTGGTCAAAAAACCAAATAAAAGTTTATCATTGTGTTAAACTTGTTGAATTTCTACTTATTACTTACGTGTGCCTTGCATTTCAACTTTGATGGGTCAGCTTGAAAAAGAAAAAAAAAGTTCAAAATGACATTTCTTGCGCAGTTTTTGGTTTCGTTTACGTTTCTTCTAATGTTGTATTTAAAACAATAGAGTTATCGGGACCGCTGCTTCTCCTCTAAAAACCTTTCAAAAGAGACCTGGGATTTAGAAAAATTGTTGCTGACTCTCTCAACGAGTTAAAATGTGCCTTTTAAAGCAACCTGTAGTACTCAGCAGAACGGAGGAAGCTATAGAGGTAACTCATTTTTAGCAGAAATCTGTTTATATTGATTTAAAAACCTTGTCATTAACTCGTCTTCTTTACTGATGTCAGGTTTCTTGACCGACTAAAAATTTTATGATTTTGATATGGTCATTTAAACATGACTAGTTCAATAGCATTTTTTAAAACAAAACAGAAAATGGTTTTTGAACATTAAAGGTTAGCTGTTCAGAAGCATCTGTTTCATTTGGCTTTATAGTAATTTAAAACTCGAACGAGTTCCCAGAGCGATTTTTGCTACGGCGACGCTTTACTTTTCTCAACGCTTCTTTCACTGTGTACTTTGTTTGGTCATCTCCACCTCTCCTTCTTTGTTTAAAATTGTTCAAATTTTTGCTTATATTTGGAATATTTCTTCTGGTACTTTATTGGAAGCAATCAGAGAGCAGAAAAAGAATAAAATTATGACTTTGTAGATGTTTTAGCACAAGCGAATAATTTCCATTAAGAACGAAAGTAAAGATGGTAACTGCTTGACTTATCTTGAAATTTGCTTTTTCAAGAAATATTATTTTGGAAAACGTTAAAAAGCTTAAAAAAAGCTTTTCCGATGTTTCTGGATAGCCAGCAGCAAGATTTATGGCTTCTCTATTACAGTCAGTAACTGAATAGTTTTTAATTTAGAGGTTGTCTTCTCGAAATGCAAAACAGAACAATAAAGTAGTACAAAGGTGTTTTTTAAGCATTGAAATCCAAGTACACCTAGAGATTTTTCTATTCCTGTTCGTTCAAATTTAATACGTTCAAATAATACGTTTATAAGCTATCCAACCTGTCAGTTGAAGATCTATTGTGCAAGGATATTGTTAAATAAGGTCTAAACTGCCTGCCTTAAAGTTCTTTAGACCTGTACACTGCACAATAATTGCAATGTTTTATCGCCTGTTTTTATCACTGCAACAGGGGACTAATTTTTATTACATAGCTTTTTCAACATTGTTGTTTATTGTGTTGACAGTAATAATTAAAAGTTACTGCAGTTATTTTGCTGCTTGACTGAACAAGGAAAACTTACTGAAAAGTGCAGGGTAATTACATCAATAGACTAGCATCAAAGTAATCACCAAAGTGTTGTTATACAAACTTCTAGCTATCTCAATGGAAATATGGTTATAAGGAAACAGAAGGTGTGCAGATAATTGAGCGATTGAAATAAGCCAGCCTTTTTTATCTCCACTTTACCTCCGGTACTTTTCAGCCGACATTTTTGTCTATTAAAGCTTTTTGAAGCAAATAACTAATAAGTGACAGAAAATCAGATCCTGAAGAAAGATAGTGGATTGTTAAGAAAGAAAATTTGAAAAAAAAATGCGTCAGTAGCTAATTCTGTCGCTGTGTTGATCAGGCAGAAAATCAAAATATACCAGAGAGAAACATTGGCTGTAATAAAACGAATAGAAGTGCAAAATATATCTTTTAAAATCTGTACTGTTGGACGGAGATAAATTTTATAAGCAAAGAAAATTTTTATTGCTTTTTATTACTGAAACTATCACTGAGGTTTTCGTCACTAAGTAAGAGCTTTGTAAGTCTTTGACAGAACTTTATGCACGGTTGTGAATTTTGCATGTAAAATACAACATCAATTTTTGGGCGCTTTCACCACTGTTATTTCCTGACCTCTGCTGAAGCATAATTAAAAAGATCATAACAGAAATAATTTTTTTTCTTTTAGATTCTGTAGTTAATCAACTGTAACAATTGATAGTTCACAACCCTGAAGTTTCAAATTAAAAACCTGAAAAATAATAATAGTTAAAAATAAAAGGCAAAAAAGAAAGGTAAAAAAAAGTAGAACTTTCGTGCAAATTATAAACGAAAACGTAAATTGGTCAAGCAGCAGCTGTTTATTTTTTTTTTTCAACTGAATACTCGCTGATATACCATTAATAAACATTTAAACACTCCAGAACTTTCAGTGGATACATCCCGCAGTTACAATTTTTTTGGAATTTTTTTCACCATAACTATTTTGCAGCTTTTATGATTTTCTCTTTGATACTAATGCAAAGATGTTGAAGGTTGCCCTATAAACCTTTTTAAGTGTAAACAGTAGCCACTGTTGCAGTTCCATTTATTAGCATAATTTACTTCTTTTTTTCCTTTATATTATCAACAGGTTGTCGGTATAACAAAAATAACTTACTAAAAAATTTAGCTATAAATTTTTCATTTTTACAGAAAAAAAAAAAAAAAACTAGAAAATTTCGTGCGTTTGAATAAAAAAAAAAAACAAAAAAAAGTTAAATCGTTGAAATAACCAACTGTTTAGCAACTTAAATCATATGATATTTATCAAAAAATAAATAAATAAATCCAAAAGTTTTGTTAAAACTTAGTGACAATAGATTTTATTCAGAATTCTCATTGTCTTTTAAGCATCAAAACTGCTTTATGTTCATTTCAGCAGTTCCTAAAGAAAGCGCTATCATCAATTCCAGGTGCCAATTTTTTATAGATTACCAATTATATTCTTCAAACTTTAGCATCATTTTGCTTTTGTCTTAAAAATTACAAACCTAAAATTGCGTTAGAACAAACAATTTGAGATTGCTTCAAGTAATTGGAAATTACTGAACAACTACCAATGGTGTTGATACTGCTCAGCTGATAAAACTTAAAAAATGCTGACAAAAAATTTCTTTTACGTTTATTTTCTATTACCTGTTTTTTTTCGCAGATCAGACTTATGCTGTTATTACACTGTTTAATACGAAACATTTCCTATGACCCAATAAAAAAAACCAATGTGGTTTTTTGCTCAAACAACTATAAAGTATACTGTTTGGTTAAACAGTAGCATAAAGAGAAAAATTTTTAACACAAGAATATCATA